GTAAGGAGCAGATAAAAAACACATTTTGTAGTTTTCCACTCCATTACTGTAAAGCTAAACAAAAAGTCGAAAGTGTTTTTACTTGTGCTTATTCTAAATCTTCTGAACTACTACAATGCTTTTATTTTGTTTTGCTATCAAAGTGACTCTTGATTTGCTGTATTTTTCATTTCATCTGAGAAAAGGCTTTTATTCTCATTCTTTGTACAGTAGTTGTGCATTGATTTACCCTTCAAAGTCTCTCATCCATCACAGTCAGAACTCCATGAGAATTTCATCAGTACATGGTCACTTTCTAAAAACATCTTCAGAAATCGTCCTGAGAAAACACCATCTGCAGTCCTGTCATTTCATTGCATCATTGCCAAACTTTTTGAAACGCACCTTCTGACACGCTCAAAGCCTCAAGTCTTCACGGTCGATTTTGCTTCATGTGTTGATGCGGCGTTCTGTTGTTGGCCTCCGACGTGAATGGACGCCTCCATTATGAGACGGCAGTCTACTTCAAAGAGCCCAAACCCGGCGTTAATGCAGTCTGATTAGTTTAAAGAGTGGCCCTCCAATACTCAAACACCTGCTCAGGGTTTTTTGAGAGTGGCTTTTTTCCAGATCCTGTTAAAAAGGCATTATGAACCATTTCGCTCTAATTAGCGTCTCCAGAAGTTAATTAGAATTCACACCGGATGATTTGCCAATATTGCTTTTTTTCCCTAATATACAGTTGATAGCAAATGTCAGAATAATTAGCCCTCCTGAATTAATAGCCCCCCAGTATGTTTTCTGTTTAATGGGAAGATTATTTTCAACACTTTTCCTAACAATAGTTTTAATAACTAATTTCTAATAACTGATATATTTGATCTTTGCCATGATGACAGTACATAATATTTGACTAGATATTTTTCAAGACACTAGTATTCAGCTTAAGTGACATTTAAAGGCTTAGCTATAGATTAATTAGGATAATTAAATTATTATATAACAGTGGTTAGGGATGTAACGATTTATCTGACCCACGATGCGATACAATTCCTGATACTAATCTCACGATTTACAATTTTATTGAGATTTTTTTAACAAATTTTTTTTTGAGAGAACTTTAGGTGAATAAGAGCGCTTACATTTTTTTCTCAAATACTGCACCCTTTTATATATATATATATATATATATATATATATATATATATATATATATATATATATATATATATATATATATATAAAATAACTGATTTGCATTTTTAATGGGAGATTTACTCCCCGTTTATGTGTAGTTAACTGGTGATCTGGGACTTTTATCCAGGACAGATTACTGTGCATATTTTAGATACATGATAATAATTATCTTTTAAATGTAATGTTTATTTAAAGAAAAGTTTTGTTTAATTAAAAAGTGCACCTATAAAGCTCACAGCAAGAAGGTCGCTGATTCGAGCCTCGGCTGGGTCAGTTGGTGTTTCTGTGGGGAGTTTGCATGTTCTCCCTGGGTTCTCGTGGGTTTCTTGCTCCGGTTTCCCCCACAGTTCAAAGACATGCGGTACAGGTGAATTGGGTAGGCTAAACTGCCTGTAATTGTATGAGTGTGTGTGGATGTTTCCCAGAGATGGGTTATGGCTGGAAGGGCAAACGCTGCTTAAAAACTTACTGGATAAGTTGGCGGTTCATTCTGCCGTGGCGACCCCGGATTAATAAAGGGATTAATAAACTTAGCCGAAAAGAAAATAAATGCATGAATGAACACTGATGCACCTTGTGATCTCTGTAGCACTCGTCGGAGCAAGCAGAGCTGCAAATCATCTGCTCTGCGTGGTTTGGCTTATCAATAGTTTTTTTTTTTGTGTATAGACAGCTGTGACAGTAGTTTTTCACTGTGTTGACGGTTTATTTGCATCATATTCGTTGTTCTGTTAGTGTAAGTTAACCTCTTTTCGCAGTAATTACACACTGTTTAGTTTTTGTCTGGTGCATTGACCGCTGACATTTTACTATGCCGCCCCACCACTTGCTTGCCGCTGATGGGCAGGTAAGGTGAGTTTGCATCTGTAAACACAGCGCCCCCTCTGTTCAAAACTTTTATGGCGATTCGTTCAACATGTCTACCAGTTTGAATAGTCACATTCTTGAATCGATTATCAACCGGCTCACGATGAATTGTTACATCCCTCACAGTGGTTTGTTGTAGACAGTCGGAGAAAAAAAAAAAATTGGTTACTAAAGCTAATAATTTTGGCCTAAAAATGGATTTTAAAAAATTAAAAGCTGCTTTTATTCTAGATTAAATAAAACAAATAAAGACTTTCTCCAGAAGATAACATATTATCAGACATACTGTGAAGAATTCCTTGCTCTGTTAAACATCATTTGGGAAATATTTTTATTTTGGCTTATAATTTTGACTTCAACATGTATTTCCTCTCGGCTTAAAGCTTCGAATTTTCCCACAGAGTTCACAGACATATTTCCCCCTCTATAGCAACTGAATCCTTGGAGATTTGGCCATGTTTCCCCTGGAAAACCTCTTATGGGGGGATTTGAGGGGTGTTAATCCGTGGATTTCGGTCGCTCGCTGAGACACAACAGTTTGCATTATTTGTTCCAGTTTCTCACCCCTAACAGTGGCGGATACGAGCGCTGGTCCGGTTAAGACTCCAGCAAAAGCCGAGCGCTTGATCTTCTGTAAGGACATCTAAAGATTTCCTTTACCCCTCCGTCAAGCTGTTCGATCTTCTTTTTCCTGCTAATAGGCAGAGAGACGTCTGCTGTCATGCAGTGTCACCAGCGGGTCTGAGCCACTAACAGATCAATGCCAGCACTGCTAGTTACAAGAGAGCACCTTGGAGATGTGGTCAAGAACGGCGGGAAGAGTTTGATCAATGTTTGAGCCGTCGTGTGCTGATTTATGCTACCCTGAGCTCTAAAAAATGGTCTAATATACAGTAGACACCATTATATAGATGCAGTTAGAATTGTGTTATGCGGGGAAATAAGTATTCAACACGTTTTTTTATAATAATAATATTTCTAAAGGAGCTGGTGACATGGAATTGAACCAGATCTTGGTAAAAACCCAAACAATACAAACATAAAAATAAAACAAAGCAAAGCAAAACTGATAAATAGCTTCTGCTTAATAATGAAGTGAAACTAGGAGAAAGACTTAACTACTGAAATGTATTTAATACTTTATATAAACGTCTTTTTAACGATGGCAGCTTAAAGAAGCCTCTTATATGGAGAATGAAGTTAAGCGCATTGCTCAGGTGTGAGTTTTTCTACAGAATTCAACAGAGTGTACAAATCTTGACGGTTCTGTGGGTCTCGTCTATCAAATCTGAGCTTTATTTTGTATTCTCTATTGGATTCGTGTCAGGTGATTGGCTGGGCCATTCCACAGCTTGATTTTCTTTCTCTGAAAGCATTTGAGAGTTGGTTTCATCTTCATCATCCTGCTAATGTAGATGTTGAACTGAAGCAGCTAATAATACTTTACAATGATGAAGGGCAGAGGATTGACTAACTACCCAGAGATTTCAGCTGCTGTCTGGGCATTCACTGCCTTTCTACGCCTCCCTTTCTTCATGTGTTTAATACTTTTTCCTTGCGTCGTTTCATTTTATTACGCATTACTTCATTTGTAAACTTAAAAAGTTTTGTTCTCTTTGCATATATGGATTTCTTTGGCTGTTATTAACATCTGGGGAAAATTTCAAGTCAACAGCACCTTTAAAATGTGTTTTCTGATAAAAATGGGGGCGTGTTCAAGACTTAATTTTCCCGCTGTACAGTATGTGTACACCAACCAACTTGGTCAAACGGGAAGTTTGAACTGGTAATGTAATCTTCTAAACAGATTTTCACACAGAAATGAACATTTGTTGGCATATGTAGAGTTGTGGAGCCTACACATTTCTCTGTAAATTAATTATTTTTTTTATATTTAATTCATTTTTTTCTCTTATGCTTTTTGGATGATATTGTATTATGTTGTGTCCGACTGTTTGTGTATTGTGAAATGGCCTTTGTACCCTTTTTTATTTTCTTTTTTTGTTTGTTTGTTTGTTTGTTCTGTTTATCTTATTATTTATTTACTTATGCGTAGGCCCACACGGAATCTGCGAGCGCAGAATTCCGCAGATTTTCCTCAGAATTCCGCAGATTTATGCAGATTTTTAGCCCATTATTAATTCTGTTTATTTACTTGAGTAATTGTGTATATCTGAATTTATTCAGTTTTTATTCAGTAATTTATTACTTTTTATTTCATATATTAAGGTTTTAGTTATGATACTCCGCTGGATACTCTCAAAATAATTCCGCAGAAATCCGCATATTTTTACCAAAATTCTCTGCAGAAATAGTAAAAAACGTCAGCAGATTCCGTCTGGCCGTACTTATGCGTCTTTTGTGATCCCCAGCGCTCCACTAGTGTCTGAAGGGAAAGGCACGTTCACGTTTTTACCAGAACTGGCACTACATATTTGGTTATGTACCATATTGACGTCGATGCGTTCAGGCAAAAGATCCGAACCCAACTCCATTCATTTATTTGACGCTGAGTTGATGGTTTCGTTAAAGAATCAATAGTTTTAAACATGGTGTACTTTCAGATTTAAACCTCAGCTGGATGTTTTCAGTCACTAAGTGCTGTTTAACCCTGCATAGAAGCTCATTTTCAAAAACCTATAATAGGGGCTCTTTAAACACTCCTTAACATTACACTGCAGAGTGATTATTCTGAAATTTAACATCTATTTCAATTTATTTAGGAAAACAAATTGTAAAATTTCTAAATGTAACAATTTTTACTGTATTTTAAATTAAATGAATGCAGCCTTGATGAGCAAAGACTTCTTTCAGATAGTTGCTGTTTAACCGGTGGCCTAAAGTGCAAAATCCCCAATGATTTACAGTGGTGTCTTTATCTCGTAAGGCTGGTATTGTTTGTTACTCACTTGTATTTGTCAGCTCAGGTCTTTAACCAGCGTGTTTGTGTGTTTCAGGTTGCTCTGCATGCGTGTGGAGTGGCGACAGACATGGTTTTGGATCGCTGTCTTCAGGCGCGGGCTGGGTTTGTGATCAGTCCTTGCTGCTACGGGTTCATTCAAAACACACTCAAGTTCAACTTCCCCAAGAGGTGAAAAGCAGGTTTCTCTTTCTCACTCTCTTTTCATTTGTTCCCCTAATCCCAAAGTATACAGCGATGGTGTAGATCTGTAATTATTCGCAGTAATAAATGCTAAGCTCTGCATACACTAAAAAGACGATTGAATGATTATGAGCAGAGGTGTTTTAATTGAGATACAGTTGTTGCATGTTTCTTTTAGGCTTGTCACTATAGAGTTGATGAACGAATTATTCGCCCTCTTGTGAATTTGTTTTCTTTATCAAATATTTAACAAATGATGTTTAACAGCAATTTTCACAGTATTTCCTCTAATATTTTTTCTTCTGGAGACAGTCTTGTTTGTTTTATTTCGCGCAGAATAGAAGCAGCTTTTAATTTTTTAAACCCTTTTAAGGTCAAAATTATTAGCCCCCTTAAGCAATATATTTTCAATAGTCTACAGAACAAACCATCGTTATACAATGACTTGCCTAATTATCCTATTCTGCCTAGTTAACCTAATTAACCTAGTTTAGCCTTTAAACGACACTTGAAGCTGAATACTACTAAATTAAGGTAAAATATTATGTGCGCTCATCATGTCATAGATAAAATAAATCAGTTTTTAGAAATGAGTTATTAAATCTATTATGATTAGAAATGTGTTGAAAATTTTCTTTCTCCGTTAAACAGAAATTATAGAGCAAATATAAAGGGCGCTAATAATTTAGACTAACTGTATTTATCTAAACTAATTATTGTTATTAAGTGATGAGTGTTGTCGCTTTGAAGCATAAGCCGGATTTACTAATTTCTTATCATTATTTTTATGTATTTATTACTAATATTAGTTTTACCTTTTGTAAATTTTATTTGAAAACAATTAAATCATCCCATGTTAATGAATAATGTAACAAACTAAAAAGCTAAACAACTAAAAAACTATTAGTTACTTTACTTAAAGAAAGTAAATTTGTTTTAACCTCTGAAAGTGAAGTGCTATTTTGGGGTTTCTGCCTGGATTTCGCCTACCCAAATTCAAAAACTTCCCAAATCCACATGCAAAGGTGTGAATGCAAACATTTAGTATTATTTTAAAGAAAACCCTTTGAATTTTCATGAAACACTGCTGAAAGTGATTAAAATAATTGTACAGTTGCAATCAGAATCATTAGCCCCCCTTTAAAGTTTTTCTTTTAAAAGTATTTCCCAAATGAGCATAACAGAGCAAGGACATTTTCACAGTATGTCTGATAATGTTTTTTCTTCTGGAGAAAGTCTTTTTTGGTTTATTTCAGATAGAATAAAAGCAGTTTTTAATTTTTAAAAACCATTTTAAGGTCAATATCATTAGCCCCTTTACGCTATATTTGTTTTCGATAGTCTACAGAACAAACCATCATTATACAATAACTTGCCTAATTACCCTAACCTGCCTAGTTAACCCAATTAACCTAGTTAAGCCTTTAAATGTCACTTCAATTTGTGTGCTTTCCACTGTATTCTGTTTCCAAGTTTTACGCAATTTAAATTTGATTGCAGTTAACTACAATGACCCAGTTTATTATGAACGTGGTCAGAAATAGCTAACCGTAATAGATAACTACAATAAACATTCATTATCGCGTCTATTTCTGTCTGTCTCTTCACATGAACGTTCTCAGAGTATCAACAATCACAGCTGAGCCTCATCAGGCCCAAAATAAATGTTGGCAGGACCGTGCAAAAATAAGCTGAGAAAGAGAGCGAATGTGCGTGTTTTGAAGAGCGTTTCTTTCTAACCGTCATTAGTTTTTCCTTCCAATCGCATGCTATCGCTCTCCAGATCTGCCATAAACCTTCATTTAATCTCAGGCAGGAATTTTGCCGTAGGCTGTGAGCATCAGGGTGGCAGGAGCAGCGAGCGCAGGAAATTATTTTTCCATGGTTGTGTTCACAGTTTTGCCATCGTGTGATTTGTCAGCATTGCTGTTCAACAGTAGGACGACCCGATGACAGACGGTTAATGTAGCAAACATTACCTACCACATACAGAAAGTCTGTTCACACCTGGTGTTAGATTGCGTTTTGCTTGATTGGGTCACAAGTGGATGAAGGAGACATGTTACTTTTTACGCCTTGCTTTCAAATGAGTCTATTATTCACTTTCGATCACTTTTCTGATGAGGGAAGGTCTATTCTAGATGATTTTCTTGCTCTATTGATTAAATTTGTTAGTTAAAAATAAACGTTAAAGGGGTAGTTCACCCTGAAATGAAAATGTGCTCAGTATTTACTCACCCTCAAGTGGTTACAAAGCTTTATGAGTTTCTTTCTTCTGTTGAGAACAAAAGAAGATATTTTAATCAATGCTAAAACCCTGTCCCCATTAACTTCAGTAAATACATGTACTTACTGTGTACTTATGCTTGATTAAATACATGTATGTAATTACATTTGTAAATACACTGTTGACCATCCCTTACACCTTAACCCACCCTTAAACCTACCCATGCCACCAAACCTGTCCATAACCCAACCTCTATCCCAACTCAAAAGCACCACAAGTATTCTCAAATACATTATAAACACAGTAAGTACATTGTATTTATTTATTTTTGATGTAAGTACACAGTAGTTAAGGACACTTAATATAAAGTGGGACCAAAACGATGGCTGTGGAAGTCAATGGTTACAGGTTTTCAGCATTTACATTTGCGTACATACAATGCAGTTAAAAAAATAAAGCAAGATGCAACTGATTTTTCTGGTCAGTTAAAAATAAACATTACAGGTGTAGTTCACTAAAATTTTTTAAATATACTCACTATTTTCTCACCCTCAAGTGGTTGTAAAGCTTCTTCTGTTGAAGATCTTTAGAAAAATGTGAGAAACCCATAACTATTGACTTCTATAGTAGAAAAACAAATACCACGGAAGTCAATGGTTACAGGTTTTCAGCATTTTACTCTTTAGATAGGTCCATAATTCAATTATACACACTATTAATATAGTGATGTATGATTTAACTATCGTTTCCATTATTTTAGTTACTAATATACAGAATATGTGTTGTAATGCACGTAACCGGAAGCCCTAATGATCTCACAAGATCGAATGTATTTCTTTGTAGTCCTCAAATTCATTCACTGTAGGCTTTGCTAGGCTATCACTGTAAAAGCCAAATGTCTCCCTTTGCATTAAACTTTGAGCATCTTACGTTTAGAGATGTTATTTATGTTCACACAGCTACATTACACATCAACTAAAGTTTCAAATGTGTTATCGTTGTGGACCACTCCTTAAAGTTAACTGCACTTAATTGTATTAGATAGAACAGCTATTATCATCCACTTCTGATTGAATTGTCTAAAATATATATATATATTTATATATATATATATATATATATATATATATATATATTTATATATACAGTTGAAGTCAGAATTATTAGCCCCCCTGAATTATTAGAACCCCTGTTTATTTTTTCCCCTATTTCTGTTCAACAGAGAGTAGACTTCTTCAACACATTTTTAAACATAATAGTTTTAATAACTTATTTCTAATAACTGATTTGTTTTATCTTTGCCATGATGACAGTAAATAATATTTTACTAGATATTTTTCAAGACACTTCTATACAGCTTAAAGTGACATTTAAAGGCTTAACTAGATTAATTAGGTTAACTAGGCAGGTTAGGGTAATTAGGCAAGTTATTGTATAATGATGGTTTGTTCTGTAGACTATCAAAAAAAAAGTTAGCTTAAAGGGGCTAATAATTTTGTCCTTAAAATGGTGTTTAAAAAAATAATAACTGCTTTTATTTTAGCCGAAATAAAACAAATAAGACTTTTTCCAGAAGAAAAAACATAATTAGACATACTGTAAAATTTCCTTGCTCTGTTAAATATAATATGGGAAATATTAAAAAAAGCAACAAAAATTTAAAAGGGGGCTAATAATTCTGACTTTAACTGTATATATATATATATATATATATATATATATATATAATGTCATTGGCCCATGAAAAACTATTTTCTAACTCTAACAAGAGGCAATTCAATACAAATAACTTGGGGCTCTATTTTGACGATCCATGCCATCCAAGTGCAAAATGCACGGCGCAATCGCATTCAGGGCATGTCAGAATCTATTTTTGCTAATATAAGGACAGAAAAATCCGCTTTGCACCGTGGGGCATGGTCTGAAAGGGTTGAGCTTATTTTCTTAATAAGTTATAGGTGTGCTTTAACAATAAACCAATCAGAGTCTCGTCTCCCATTCCCTTTAAGAGTCAGTTGCGTCGCGCTATGGTGCATTTGCTATGTACATGATGTAAAGTAAGTGTAAGTGGAAAAACTGAGCATTTCACAAGCAAGAAAACGGTTAAACAGAGCATCTACAGCACGAGAATGACAGATAAATTATTAACTTTCGCTCTCGAGGGTAGGGAAAACCTTGTATGCACAGACATCAATTACCCTATAAATAATTAAATTCATTTGTTAAGAGCAAATATTTGTTTTAAAATTATTTCTAAATTCAGTTCTAATTTCCGCAAACGAATAAATGAACAATAATAACGAAGTGTGCTCAAAAACCTGAGTTATATCCAAATACACATGCTGTATAGTGTAAAACCTGACAGGTGGGCAAATCTAAGCTTGTTTTTAATTTAAAAAAATATATAAATATGGATATAATAAATAATACTGCTAATAATAATAACATTGTACAAAAGCAAATTGTTATGAATAAACTGAAAAAGCCCCCCGAAATGAAGAAGGCATGAAAGAATGGTTTTTAAATTTATGTAGGCTAGAAAATAATATGTTTTGTAATATTTTAATCCTTTATATTTATATCCTATATATATATATATATATATATATATATATATATATATATATATATATATATATATATATCCTTAATATTTTAATTCCTTTTCATTTGTAAAGATATTTGCGTATTGCTCTACATCTTGTGTGTATGAAGCAGTGTGTAAGCGTGGCGCACAACTAACGCGCTCTGCGCTGGACAATAGACCGGCTTTGTTCTGGTCTATTGAAAAATCTATTATAGTCCCTCAAAATAGCAACGCGCCAGTGATACACGTCAAAACGCCTTTATTATTAGACCAGAATGCCTATGAGCCCACATATGAGCGCAAATGCATTTGCTATTTAAACAGCGTAGCGCAAAACGTTAAAACGACTCTTGCACGGAGCTGAAACTAGCAAACAACAATTGCGTCGCACCTTGCGCCACATTGCGTCGGGTGTGTGATAGGGCCCAATATGTTAAAACTGCTATCATAACATTATTAATCAATATGTGGCTCTTTTTGGATTCTCAGAAGCTATAGAAATTAAAAATGTGAAACAGGAAATAGTTTGGGACCATTGTTTTTGTTTACATCTCTCAAAATCATAACAGGATCAGAAAAAAACGTTATCTATATCATTCCTGTAACTCTATTTACAATCCACTTACACCTTCCAAGAATGTTTTCAGGGTCTCCTTTAAATCCTTTCCTTAAGTTTGAGTGTTTTTTTATGCCTTTACTCCGTCATGTCGTTTTTCATTCGCGCCTCAGTGTATGTGTGAGTTCATTAAGCTTCCCTCTCTCCGTCTCTTTCACAGTGCGAGGTTTGCGGAGACTTTGAGTTATAAGGTAAGTGTTTCAGCACTCTTTCTTTCTCTTGCTCTTTTCATTATCGCCTACACGTGTTCAACGTCACACCGCCTGGTTCCTCATGCAAGAGCCCCTGTGGGAAAACTCTGCAGGAACACTTGTGTGAACTTCAGCGTTTGATTCAGTGCAGGTCACGACTTCCAGAACAAAATATATATATATATCGGTGAGCTTGTTATTATTAATCATAATCAGAAAGAGTCTTATTAGACCATTGCAACAACTTGGCTTTTCCAATATAAACAGAGGACTACTGAAACCAGCAATACAAAATAAAGTTGTACTAAATAAAAAGTCACTGTTTGAATTAAAGGAAGCTAAATCTTCAGAGTCTATGGTGTATGGTGATATGTTTCTGGCTCATTATTTATGGACAGCAATAGTTTTAACTCTATTAAATGTAGTAAATATGACATTTATTTCTGGACAATAAAGGCCTAGATGGTTCTTTGCATTGTAATATTTAGGTTTTTAAAATGAAACAATTGTTTTGCTGCTTGTTTTTCAACAGAAATAGGGAAGCAGGCGGTCTCATGTAGTTGCGCATTGTATTTTGGCTGCTCTTATCTGCAGGCGCTGTCTGAGCACTGAGTAATGGATGCGGTTAATCAGTCGTATCTCACTGTCATCAGTGTGTGGACTCCAGCATCTCTCACACACTGTGCTCACAGCCCCTACCCAGATAACACCTACATAGGGGTCCACCAGGGACAGCCTGTCCCCTCAGTCAAGATTCTAAACAGATACGCTTTTCATTAGTGTTGCTATTTGATTTGATTTTTAAAAAGCTCATTATGTGTTGTGCATAGATTTTAGGGCATGAATAGCACTACTACATGTAGCAGCTTGTTGACTTTTAGTTACAAGCATAACAACAATAACATAGAACCCTCTAGCAACTAACCTTAACACCTTAAAAAAACTGGTTGATAAATATAAAATAAAAATACTGAAAATTACCGTCAGAAACATCAATTTTAAGGACAAATTATTTCTGAGTAGCTAATTCAGAATATTATTATACACTCACCGGCCACTTTATTAGGTACACCTTACTATTACTCAGAGATTTTGCTCCATATTGACATGATAGCATCAACTGGCGATTTGTCAGTTGCACATTCATGATGCGAATCTCTCTCTCACATCCCAAAGGTGCTCTATTAGATTGAGACCTGGGGACTGTGGAGGCCATTGTCATGTTTAAGAATTCAGTCTGAGATGATTCACGCTTTATGACATGGCGCGTTATCCTGCTGGAAGTAGCCATCAGAAGATGGGTACACTGTGGTCATTAGGGGACGGACATGATCAGCAACAATACTCGGGTAGGCTGTGGTGTAGAAAACATCCCCCACACCATTACACCACCAGCATCAGCCTGAACCGTTGATAGAAGGCAGGATGTATCCATGCTTTCATGTTGTTGACCCGACCATCCGAATGTCGCAGCAGAAATTGAGACTCATCAGACCAGGCAACGTTTCTCCAATCTTCTATTGTCCAATTTTTGTGAGCCTATGTGAACTGTAGCCTCAGTTTCAAGGTTTAAGGTTTAACTTTATTTGTCCCCGAGAGGAAATTTGTCTTGGGCATAAAAGGTGCTACAACATTGTCTAAACAGACAGTAAAAATAAATAAAACAAAATAATTAAGAACAAACAGTTAAGAACATACATTGTTTACAGAATAAGACCGTATATAAATATAAATATATAAAACACAGAACCCAGTCAAGTGCTAGCGTACTGCAGGAGCAGTGTTATTGGTAGAGTTCAACAGTTTTATGGAGGTAGGAACAAACGAAAGCTTCAGTCTATTAGTTTTACACATTGGCATTCTCAGTCTTTTTCCTGATGGTAACAGCTGATATTCACTGAAAAGGGGATGTTTAGAATCAGTGCTAATACGTATTGCTCTTTTTATAGCCGCCTGTTCGTATAGAGTCTGGATGGGCTCTTATTGTTTTATCCCTATAATTTTCATGGCTGTTTTTTGCATATGAACCAATTTATTTTTCAACTGAACAGACAGGTTTCCAAACCAGACTGTGATTCCATAGCGAATAAGACTCTCAAACATAGCTCGGTAAAAAACAAGCAAGATATGGCTACCCACCCCATAAAATCTCAGCCTTCTTAAAAAATAAAGCCTCTGTTGTAGTTGTGTGCATAAACTCTCAATGTGTGTTCTCCATCAAAAAACACTGTCCATATAAAACCCCAGGTATTTGTAAGATGTGACTTGCTGTATCACTGTGTCTTTAATGATCACAGGCCTGTGTTCAGAAACACTTCGTGGGTCAAGTACCATTTCTTGTGTCTTTTTTACATTTAACACAAGACAGTTCTTATCACACCACTGAATGAAATGATCGATTTCACTGTGGTAGGATGATAGGTCCATGTCATTGTGTAAGAGACTTAAAATGGCAGTGTCATCAGCATATTTCATAATATAATTATTAAAATGTGTGCTCCTGCAATCATTTGTGTACAAGGCAAAAAGCACAGGTGATGAAACACAACCTTGTGGCACTCCTGTATTACTGTATCTGACCTCAGAAAGTGTCCCTTTAACCCTTACCTGCTGAGCTCTGTTACTTAAAAAAAGAGTAAAACCATTTAATTAAGAACGTACTGACACCCATGTTATGCAACTTCTCTAAAAGTAGATGTGTCTGCACTGTATTAAATGCCAAACTAAAATCAACAAATAAAATACGAGCATAAGCTTCCTGTTCTTAGCTGACAAGAGCGGCACCCGGTGTGGTCTTCTGCTGCTGTAGCCCATCCACCTCAAGGTTCGACGTGTTGTGCATTCAGAGATGCTCTTCTGCAGACCTCAGTTGTAACAAGTGCTGATTTGATAAAGTCTGGCCATTCTCCTCTGATCTCTGGCATCAACAAGGCATTTGCGCCCACAGAATATATATATATATATATATATATATATATATATATATATATATATATATATATATATATATATATATATATATATATATATATATATCCGCACAAATTAAAAAATATTGGGTAAATATAATTTTTAATGAAAATAACTCAAACCAAACTAAAAATAGAGATGTGTTAATTATTATATATACATGTAATAAAATATAGAAGCATATTTGATTTAAAAAAAAAAAGTCAAATACATTTAAAATGATTAAACAATATGAAAATAAATTAACCCAATGATGCTTTATTTTTATTATATTGCATTGTGGTTTAAAATGAATGCTTTCAGAACTGATTTTTTAGATATTCACACAAATTTTTTAAAGTTGGGTAAATATTAGAGTAATTTCTAATTAAAATAGCTCAAACTAAAAATAGATATGCATATTAATTATAATCTAAATACATTGTTTAACTACAGAAGCATATTTGACACTTTAAATGTCAAATACATTTAAAAATATGTCAATAAATGAACCCAATGTTGCTTTTTTGTTATATATTTTAATTGCATTGTGATTTTAAATTTCAGCATCAAAACACCCTGCAGAAAAATGCTTTAATTGCTGTACTGGTTTTGAATTTGATTAGTTCAAAATGAAAATAAAATAAAAAGCTTGATTGGTTTCCCCCTTGGCTCGTTTTGAAGTGAGCATAACAAGTCTGATATTTCTCATCGGCTAAACACGCAGATTAAGCACTTTACTGTGTTAAAGCATGTTTTTCAGAAATTATCCCGAGTTACAGCATCGATCCCAGCTATTAGCCTGGGAGAATTCAACTTGATAGGAGAAATCAATCTGCCAGCGCTGTTACGTTCCTTTCCATCAGCACTTGTTTCACTCAGTTAATGCAGAATAATGGTTGCTCCGAGACATCGCTGGTCAGGAACGATGCAGGAAGTCATTTTCCTGCACTTCATTACAACAGCCATCACCAAAAAACTAAAAAATGCAATTAGAGTGCATTGATTAATATCAAATGAACTGCTTTCCTCTGTGTTTTCCTCTAATGGCTGCTTCTACCGCTTTGATAAATGATCTGTTCATTCGCCGCAGCCGTAACGATCTGGTGCATTGATATTTGTTGCCATTGTGTTTTTGTGTTTTACACAGGAGCATATGATCCTGTGCAGGTTTGCGGATCAGACGGCTGTCAGTTTACCACCCGAACGACGCTCCATCGGTGAGATGGGTTTGTTTTTTTGGCAGCTGGTCAGAGCTGTTGTGCTTTAACAATCAATTCCTGATAGGGATAAGCCATTTGGTGGAAAATTTTAGGGTAGGATGAGCTGTAGTGTTGGAGGATTTATAGTTTCGTGCACGATCTGGCTGTGTGAGGCTCACAGCGATTAGAAACCAATTCAAAAGTTCAACTACAACTACAATTGCAATCTGAATTACTCAACCCCCTGAATTATTAGCCCCCCTGTTTGTTTTTTCCCCCAATTTCTGTTTAACGGAGAGCAGATTTATTCTGCACATTTCTAAACACAATAGCTTTAATAACTCATCGCTAATAACTGATTTATTTTGTCTTTGTCATGATGACAGTAAATAACATTTGACTAGATGTTTTTCAAGACACTTCTATACAGCTTAAAGTGACATTTAAAGGCTTAACTGGGTTAATTAGGTTGACTATTCAGGTTAGGGTAATTAGGCAAGTTATTGTATAATGATGGTTTGTTCTGTAGACTATTTAGAAAAAAAGTTTAAAGGGGCTAATAATGTTGACCTTAAAGGGCCATGACACCCCCCAATTTAAGTTCAGGTCTACCTCAGAATTTTTTCAAAAGATGCATGATTAATGGGCGTGGAGCTCCACGAGCATAGGGCAGGAGTGGGCAGGGCCAGCAGAGCAGGGGAGAAGGAGAGGAGCGAACAACTGTTGTCAGTTAGCTCAAAAAATGAGAAACAAACCGTGAGGAGACGCATGAGTTTATTACAAAGGTAAAATGCAAAATAATAAACAGCGATCAAATGCCCTGCTACATTTGTTATTCGTAACTTCATATGCAGATCACCACAATTTATATCATTATAAAGATAATCGTGTTCTTATAACCACTATAAATGAGGACTTTTCCCTCAATCCCCAGGTCTGACTCTGAATCAGAGGTCTGAATGCAGACTCAGTGCCGTCTCCTGCCTTGTCTATTTTCACCATTAGTTCTGCTGGTAATCTGGAGGATTTACGCAAACACAGCAGCACGGCAATGTGTCTAAATGTGAACCAACTCCTGATAAAAGACAACGCTCGCCATTTTCCAATTCTCGTACTGCTCTCCTGACAAAAATGCTTGCAGCACACAAACAGCTGTGCTGTGTCGGCCCAGACATTATCGCGGGGAAAGAAAAAACATGCAACAAACTTCGAAGATCATGGAAACAAACACATACAAGCCCTTATGAACGGCCAATTACTGTGTGCCGTGGCCGCAGGTCCATGTCTCACAGCTTGCTAGCAGGTCTGCCTTGCCTTCGGGAAAGCACGTGCTCTCATGATTAATTAAGCAGCCGGCTCTTCACATAGGATAAGAAAACTCCGCTATGTCATCTTTGCACTTGCAGTACTGCGCTCCGTCGCCAAATTTGGTCCCGCCCCAAAAATCATTTTGAACCCGGAAGCTGAAATTAGCTGACAAAAGCTCAAAATTTTCCAGTTTTCCCCACAATTAAAGCTGACAGGTGCTAACATTGTCTTAAATGATGCTCAACACACACAAATCTGTTAATATAAAAAAAAGTTATCCATAGTGTCCTGAACCTTTAATTTTTTATTTATTTATTTATTTATTTTTATAAAAACTGCTTTTATACTATCTGAATTAAAACAATAGACTTTTTCCGGAAGAAAAAGTATTTTCAGACATACTGTGAAAATTTCCTTGCTCTGTTAAACATAATTTGGGAAATATTTAAAAAAGAAAAAAAATCAAAAAGGGGCCCAAAATTCTGGCTTCAACTGTATTAAACTGTTGATTGAAAATTCAGCTTTGTGGATGTATTGACATTTTAGTAGTTACAATGTGTTGTAAAAGAAATAATATATAGGCTGCGTCGATTGGCTGATTAGTAATGAGCATTAATGAGCAGTTGGACAGGTATACCTAATAAAGTGGCCGGTGAGTAGTTAAATAATGTTAAAAAACAAAGTCTTATTTAAAAAGCACCAGTTTTTTTTTTTTTACTAATTTTAGTTTTATTTAATCCTAAATGAGTTTGAAATACAAAAGTAAATCATTCGTCACAGTAGCGCAGTTTGTAGCAGAATCACCTCACAGCAAGACGGTCGGCGTGTTGGCGTGGGTTTCATCCAGGTCCTCCGGTTTCCCCCACAGTCACATAGGTTTGAGTATTAAGTTAAATTGTTCATAGTCTATGTGTGTGAATGAGTGTCATTTTCTGGTGAGTGGTTGCAGCTGGAAAGGCATCCGCTGCGTAAAACATATGCTGGATAAGTTGGCGGTTCATTCTGCTGTGGCGACCCCAAATTAATAAAGGGGCTAAGCTGAAACCAAAATGAATGAATGAAAAGTAAATCAATAATGCTAAAATAAAACAATATCACTGTGTTACACACCTAAAGTCAGCATATTGGTTCAGTGGACACTTGACCTTCGACTGGACATTTAAGAGACCTGTAAATGTTTCTCCAGACTAACAGCACTTGTTCGGTTTCCAGTAAACTTTGCAGAAGCATTTGAGTTGAACATAAACAGTGAATCTCTAACAGCATCTGTGCTGAAACGCTGAACTGAGATCAGACAGACTCTCGCCGCTGCGTGACCTCTTTTCTCTCTCAAACACACACAGTCTGATCGCACTAAATCTGACGGCGCTGTCATCTTTCATACCGCTCGCCATCTTTTACAGCCTCCCCACATAACACATGCTAAATGGCGCCAGTCAAACCTCTGACTGATATCAGTGAGCTGATTATTACTCTTGATAAGATCAGAAAGATCAGTTTAAAGCTTTTAGTGCATTTTGTTTTCCATCAAACTACAGCAGCCTTTTTTAAAGACATTTTTTTTTGTTTGTCTTTTGATTTTTCTTTTTTGGAAAACATTTAAAATTAATTTAAGAAATCTTAAACCTAATAGACTTTTGATTGAATTATTTCTATTTCTCTATACATCGCTCAGTCTGTTCACACTTCTGATAGTCTATGGCTTATATATATACAAATCACAGGATGGCTAATTATTTTGGCTTTAGCTGTAGTACAATATATAACTAATGTAGATGACTAATGAACCATTATTGTACAGTGTTATTGATTAGCAAAAGTCATTTTAGTTTAGCTTTATTTAAAAAACACACTTTTTCATTACTTGTTTGCTTTTTTCTTCTTCTTTTTTTAATTAAAAATAACTTTTTTGAGTTTTCCAGAACTTTAGGGACAATTCAGATGGCTTTTGCAGCACATTTACTATTTCTGAACTCATTTATAAAACCAAGTTACACATTTATTCTGTTAGACTCTCTGAAGTGTCTTGACCTAAAGACTCTCCGTTTGTTTTTACAAGCTGAAGGTCAGAAAGTCTGTGCCAAGAACAGACCATTAATTAAAGTGTGAAACGTGTCGCATTGACTCATAACAAAGCTCTGTTCGTTTGGTTTCAGACAGTAAAATGCTGCTTTTTAATTGGGTTCTCAGTTTTAATTAACTGTAGAATATCTGAATGTTTTCTGTCTGAATATACTCTGTCTATTAAAGGTGTGTTTTGGTGATTAGTGTGTTTTGTGAAATGTGCAGGGAAGCGCTGTATGGGACTGGTGGACCTGGACCGCAGCTGGGCAGCAGAGGCTCATGGGTATTCTGTGAGGGTGATGACCATGATCCCAAAGGGATGTTCACCTAAGAACAATATGCTGGTTGGTGAACCGACAGGATAACACAAGCTCACTGAGAAATCCCTTTTTCAAGATGAGATAGGTCTACAAATATACCTCAGCGGGAATGTTTAAATGATTATTTCCATTTTTTTGTGTTTCTTTTCAAGTTTTAACATGATTGATCAACTAAAAATTCATCATTTACTCATGCCAGTTTTGTTTAAGTGCTTTTTTATGAGCTATAAAAGGAGTATTTTTAAAATAATGTTTGCAATAGGAGTAAAACTTGGATTACATGGATTAAACTTTTTTATGCAAAATAACTGACTGGTCCTGCGTAATGTCTTCTATATATTTAGGTATTCTGGTGATAATATTATGTATTGGGTTTAGTGGAAAAATATAAGTGTAATGCATGATAAAATGCCCACCTAGTCTTTTAGTTACTGAGTTAAAAAACTGATAGCTTATAATAGTATAATATAATTATTATCAACTGATAGTTGATAATAACAAATAATTTGAGTTCAAAGACTAATCCTAATGAGTACTGTGAACTTCATTTGAGTAAACAAAGCAATTTGAGCACAGTAAAACCCGATAAGTGAAGAGAACTCAAACCAAATGAGTTTTGTCAAACCCAATGAGTTAAGGCAACTCAAACTGTTTAAGGAGACCGATTGCTACCAACCAATTAAGTTAAACTAATCTACATGAGTACTGTAAACTTACTCTATTTAAGTTGAGGTAATGAGGTATTTAATTAACTATTTATGCTGACTGTTTCAAACTTCTTAATAAACACTTTTAATTATTTAAACTTTAAATCGACTTAAAATTTTCAGACGAGGCTTTCTTAAGTCACTATAAAGTTTGTCTAGGAACTTTACTTTCTAGTTATTCAATTACTGTACCTGCATATATGACAACTGTTCAATTCCTCGGAAAACCACAAAGCTCTGCTTGTTTCACTTTTATTTTTGCTCTGTTTTTTTTATTTATGCTTGCAATTTGTTTGATTCACTCCTCCACATGATTATTCCAACCATCTAAATGAAAGATGACATCGCAAATTGGCTATTCAAGACATCTGCAGAAATTTGATTCATATCGCAGTGTATCTCACAAAAAATATTGTCACATCAGATTTTCCGACATCGTGCAGCTCTAGCTGGTGTGTAAATAATGAGTGATTTTGAGTTTCAGGTGAAGCTTTTTCATATTAGCAAACGTTTTATTTATAGAGAAAGCTCAGTTCGTTCGCTTCAGTTCATTCAGAACTTGTTTTTATGTATTGTTCTTCTGTAAATCACAAGTACAAAGCTGTTCTACACCAACAACAGAGAAAAGCACCATAAATCTTCATCTTTCAAAGACGCACTATAACTTTGTATGAGGGGCTGAATCTAAATTAAGATGTGCTTTTATGACGCTTTTTACGCTATTTATACACCATTTTGTGCTGAACACAAGCTTTGACATTCTCTCTGACATTTATGTTTCCCAGAAGAACGAAAATCATCTTTTGAATGATACTGGAATCGTGATGAGATAAAAAAAAAAATATGAATCAAAAGCGTGTATTGGCAGATTTGTCAGCTGCACATCCATAAAGTGAATCTTCCATTCCACCACATCCCGAAGGTGCTCTATTGGAGTGAGATCTGGGGAATATGTTGGCCATTTGAGTGCAGTGAAAATGTTGTCATGTTCAAGAAACCAGTCTGAGATGATGCTATGATTCACGCTTCATGACATGGAAGTAGCCATCAGGGCCCGGTTTTTCAAAAGTTTTAATCCAGATGAAATTGATCCGGATTTAGTAATCCTGTTTTTGCGATCCCTGATCACGTAATCCAGCTTACTTTTTGGACCAGTTTTTCAAAGCAACATCGGATTGGATCAATCTGATCCGGATGGGAACTTTTCAGGATCACTAAATCTGGATTACCAGTGCTCAAACAGGATAGGAAATCACAATGTAGAACTATAGATATTTAAAGAGCGACAAGTACAACAGCCAGCGTGGGGTTAATATAACTTTATTTTTTATTTGAAATGAAAATTTTATAAATATTAAAATAATAATAAATAATAAAAACAAGAAAAAAGCCCACCCCATCCTCTTCCAGCATTCCACTCATCTGAGACCTACAACACTGTACATTGAAGATAGTTATAATAAGTTTCAAATATAGATGTAAATAAAAAAAGACTTAATGTTCAAAACTCTACAATAATTTCAGACTTCCTCATTTGATGTGGAGAGACCAGCTTGTCTGAGCGTATCCTTTAGGAGGCGGATCTCAAGTCCTTGGCCTTTGTTTGCTGCAATTTGGTCAGAGTCAGTTGTTCCTTCGCCAGACGAAGCTGCGCTTCTGCCCTTTCAGTCTCTTTTTGCAATTGTTGAAAGAGATTTAAAAAATCAGTGATTGCCATTCTTTGCATTTTTATTTTGTAATCATTACATGCATCACTAATAAATATTTTCCATTGTGATGAATATATATATATCAGTTAGAGACAGAATAAAATTGATTGCTTTTGGTCAATTTTGACAGCTGTTTGGGGGATTATTTTATGAGGCCAAACTCTTTCTAATTATGCTGTATTCCTATACTGAAAGGCTAATTACGTTAAAGCCTATAATCACTATAGCCTGAAAGATGAACAAATAAAATTAAAACCTTATGAATAAATAGTATATCTCGTAAGATACTGCATGATGCAAAAATAGTATAGTTTGATACATTTTAAGTTTTCCTTACATTTTAGGCATGAAATCCACGCTAAATCCACCCTTCTGATGGGATCAGTTTAATCCTTTTTTTTTTTTGGATCAAAGTGATCCAAATCCTACAAAAAAGGTCTGAAAAACCCAAACTAAAGGTTTGATCCGGATCAAAACCAAGATTGGATTACGTGATCTAATCCGAATATGTAATACGTTTTTTCTTTTGAAAAACCCATTTTCAAGATTTGATCCAATCCCTTATCCCAAATCCTAGTGGATTACTTTTGAAAAACCGGGCCCAGAAGATCGGTACGCTGTGGTAAAAAAGGGATAGACGTGGTCAGCAACAATACTCAGGTAGCCTGTGGCATTGACACAATGCTTAATTAGTACTAATGGGCCCAAAGTGTATCAGGAAAATATCCCCCACACCATTACACCACCAGCCTGAATTGTTGACACAAGGCAGGATGGATCCATGCTTTCATGTTGTTGAAGCCAAATTGTGGCCCTACTATCCGAATGTCGCAGCAGAAATCGAGACTCATCAGACCAGGCAACATTTTTCCAATCTAACATCTAACATGTCCAGTTTTGGTGAGCCTGTGCGAATTGTAGCCTCAGTTTCCTGTTCTTAGCTGACAGGAGTGGCACCCGGTGTGGTCTTTTGCTGCTGTAGCCCATCCCCCTCAAGGTTGGACGTGTTGTGTGTTCAGAGATGCTCTTCTGCAGACCTCGGTTGTGACGAGTGATTATTTGAGCTACTGTTGCCTTTCTATCAGCTAGAACCAGTCTAGCCATTCTCCTCTGACCTCTGGCATCAACAAGGCATTTTCAGACTATTCTCGTAGAGATAGTTGTGTGTGTGAAAATCCCGGAAGATCAGCAGTTTCTGACATACTCAGACCAGCCCGTCTAGCACCAACAACCATGCCATGGTCAGTCACTTAAATCCCCTTTTTTCCCCATTCTGATGCTCGTTTGAGGAGCAGCCGATTATCTTGACCATGTCTACATGCCTAAATGTCTTGAGCTGCTGACATGTGATTGGCTGAGTAGAAATTTGCATTAACGAGCAGTTGGACAGGTGTACCTAATAAAGTGGCCGGTGATTGTATATAAAGTATAAAGCACATTTAAATCCACAATTTTTGATCAAAGTGCTGTACAAAACAATAGAACTTTAACTTTAGATAAAAGTACGATTTAAGCTTCGATTTAAACAAAGAAAGAGATGATACTGTTAGAAATTTGGTACTTTTATTCTAAACGGGTAATGTCTCATTGCTTTCCCACTAAATTTGCATGCTCTGGGTTTGTTTGTTAAAATAAGAGAGACAAAAACCAGCACGCCCTTCGATAAATTAAACATGACTTTGGCAAATCAGCCAGTGAATTGTGTATAAGCACCTTGCACCCTCTCCTCCGCCATTATCTGGTATTATACGCAAAACAAAAGAGTGTAGAAAGAGCCGCTTTTCCCCAAGTTATTACCAATGTAAAATTATTCATTGTAATTTGCTCTTCTCTCTCGCAAAAAAAGGAAAGAGAAAAAGCAGAGACCTCACTCCTGAGCTTTTGTCTCAGTGTTTGATTAAAAGTATTGAAAGTAAACACCAGCAGCAGGTATTTATCACGATTCCCTTGTGGCAGGAGAGTTGGATGGGTTAATATTCATGAAATGGAGCGTGCATGGATTAATCTGACCACGGTTATGAATATTTGATTAGGCCACGGCTCACACAAATGCCAAAGCGCGGCATTGGTGGACAGGGTGCAATGATATATGAACTATTCCTCCAGCTTAACTTTGACTGTGTTTGGACTCATGCTGTCTTCAAACAGGCCTCTGGTTTTGCTGCTGAAGACTCTCACGTTTGGGATACAGAGATGAGATCTGTTCCTCTGCCATGAGGAGCTGCACAACCTTTAAGCTTTAAGACGCCAAGCTAGGCAAAGCTCATCTGAATTCTGTGAGCGGAGCCAATCTCCCAGAGTGTGAAAGACTGGAGACGGGGGCACCTTCCAGAGAGCTGGAGTCATTTTCGGTGGGAAACGCTGCTGCTGCTGCTGCATTCCCCAAGGTTTGGCTCTGAGTCCTTTCTAAATGTACATGATTGTGAGTACATGGTAGAAAATATGGGTTAGTTATAAGTGCATTACTGTAATTCTGTAGAAAAAAATGTCAGAACACAAAATATGATGCAATACGCCAAAATCTCACATTATGCAATCCTGAAGAAAAAAAAAAGTCTCTTTTAAAGTCAGAAATGTAAGTCGTGTTTTGGTATGGAGCTTATTTTATTTCCACTGAAAATGTTAAAATTGAACAGTTTTGCTCACCCGTTTATCAACACTATATTTTCCACACTTTTCTGGTTTCAAGTCCAAATATCTAAAAATTCTTAAATCAAGAAGATTTTTCTAGACAAGCAAAACATAATGTATTGTTTTTTTGTTGTTGTTTTTTTTTTTTTTTTAGAATTTGCAAAAAGGTACATAAATTGGCATCATACAAATACAAAGAAACATAAAAAAAAGCAACAACAACAATATAGGGCTCTATTTTGACGGTCCATGCGCAAAACG